CATTCGTACAGTATTAAATGTAGCAAGGCAAGCCCTAGGTGGAGGTAAGTCATGGCCTTCAAAATTTGACCCTACCCGTGCTTTTCAGATGTATTTCGACTGAAACCATTGATGGAAGCGTTGCCAAAGGACTACATAGATTACAATCGGTTAAAGCTAATAAGAGCAATATTGATATGGGAATACGATTCAGGCAGTGAGATGGAAGAAACGAATGAAAGTGCTTCAGGTAAGTCTGGTGATATCCTATGAGAACTATATAAGCGAAAGCCATGAAGAAGTCCCAACCGCTGTGGAGAAGTGCAAGGTGTCCCAAAAAATGTATCGAACATTTGATCTTCGATAACTTCTTTACATAAAAAGAATCCGCGGATCTTCGGGTGTCATTCGGTAGGGCTACCTTCAACTCAGCACAGCCTAGAGCAAATCACCGATCTCTCTTAGTTACTTAGGATTACGGTAGGAATTTTCGACTAATCTTAGGTTTATTTTCGACTAATCTTAGGTTTCTGACGGACGAGAATTGCATCTAAAAAGTTACGAAAAGACCGGAGGATGTAAAACTAAGGTTTTCGGTAATGCTGAATCTCATTACAAAGTTTTCTGCTTTTGTACTTTTCGCCTTCGTACTGGATACGCACGGTAAAGCTGAACGGCTTTTTCCCAAAATTTACTAAATCAACGTTGCAGTTACAAACATGTCGAAATCAATCAGTAGATCAATCAAATCAATTCATTACTCGTATTTGAAGCCTGATTTTGTAATTTTTTGCTCTCATTATCTGCAATTAAATGAATTAAGAAATTTCTAAGGTTCAACTGAACTCTTCTTGACAAAAGCAACGTTGGTTTAGTAGTTTTGGAAAAATGCCAACAATTCAGCGTTACACTGCGATTCCATAAAAGCCGAGGGGTAGCGAAAATCATTGTAATTAGATTCAGCATCATTGAAAACCTTAGTTTGACGTCCTTGGAGTTTTTCGAATTTTTTAAAGAAGCAGTTCTCCTCTGTCAGAATCTAAAATTAGTCGAAATTCCTATCGTAATCCTAGAGTAACCAAGAGTAATCTATGATTTGCTCTATGCTGTGAA